GGTCTGACGGCAACAACATTGACAGCTATGGCCATCTATTGGTAAATTCCGGTTTCATATTTACATACTTGGTATATGCACCATTTCTGATATTATTATAAAATGATTTTGTATCCAAAATTTTAACTTCCTCCCAATTAAAATCATGATTGAAATTAATACGATAGTCCGAAATAATTGATGGAGATTTCACTTCTTTATTAATATATCAGAAGAGTACTCATGAACTCCCGTTTGTAAACGTGATCTCTTCGTTTGACCGATATAACACTTAACCCATACAGCACGCTAACGTTGAATCAATATTTCAAAACGTTGAATTGTAACATTCAAAATTGATACAACATTGATTCAACGTATATGCAATATAGATTTTATTGAGTCAATATTTATTCAACGTCCATTCAACGTCTATTCAATGTAGCAAGTTGAATTGCAACATTGCGAACATTGCAGCAACATCGCGAAATATTGATTCAATATTGAAAAGACATTGCAGAAACTTCTAATGTCCGTCGAATCTATGTCTTACAGATGTTACGATTCAACATTGATTCAACATTGATTCAATCAAAATATATGTAATATAGGGAAAGTTGGCTAAGTCGTACCGACTGTTAAATCGTACCTCCATTGTATTTTCAAAACGAAACATTTTTTTTTAAGATAATGACACTGATGTGACGCTGGTAATATGGGTTAAGAACTATCTTTTTTGTTTTGTCTTCGAGTCGTCTGTTTACGAGTGACATTCAAAATTGATTTTGTTCGGTGTCTGATCTAAGTTTTGATACAATTTACCTAAGGTGTTATCAGTACAAGGTGGGTAATTGAATTATAGTGTTCTTCGTGGTTATAATCGATATTTAAACTCTTTTCGAGTTTAGCATCAAATTAGCAAGATATTTATAAGTTGTGTTGTTATTGGCAAATTTGTAAAAAAATAGAAGAAGTTCGGTAAATCATACTTGTCGCTGGTCTTTATATTGTACCGGTACGATTTTCGCAAGTGACACGAGCAATATGTGGAGATTACTATTATGATAAAAAAGGACCTACAGTGGACTGGATTCAGTATGTCAGGTGCTCTAAGTGGTTGCACGAAACCTGTAGTGACAATCTTGACATTTATCAAAACTGTTTAAATAAGCGCTCAAGAAAGTGATTACTTATCAACTATTGAGTCTTTCTATTAAATTTTTCTATTGAGTCTTTCTATTGAATCTTTTCTATTGTGACGGAAAAATCCGTAATTGATTTTATTTCAAAAATGGTAATTATTCAGTTTATCTACCCCACCTCAAAAATCAATAAAAATAGGCTTATTCGATGCGTTTTTGAATGAAATGAAAGAATCTGGCAAAAAAAGTGTCGCTCTGCCCTGTGAGCCGAGATATTGAGCGTTAAAGTTCGAGATTTTAGAGGTTAAGATATCTGTCATTCTGACTCGCCGCAGCGCTACATATACGTAAGGTCTGTTCTTTTTCGAAGAATTCTGAAATAGTGCAATAAGTTAGAGTGAGACAAACTACAGCTGTCTCATTCTAATTTATTGTACACACACGCGGGGGGAAATGTACAGTGCTAGTGTTGTCGATTGGACAAATTTTTGTCGAGAGGAAGTTGTGCGCATATATGTATATGTGCACAACTCTCACCTTCGACTCTCAC